TGTTGGTTTTTCAATTTAGTGTTAATGAGGGATTCACAAGATGCGTTAAGGGTTTTATGAAAATCTATAGAATTCCACATTGGGAATAAATGACAAAGATGGTGCGGATGTTCAAATATGTCTCCCCTCCTAACCTTTTATTACAAAACGTGTAGTATTGGTCATTTATTTCGAAATACTAAATATATATATATAAATATTATTTAAATATAATATTTCAGTTGGTATCGGTTTAAAAATTTTCAAAACTGAAAAGCAGACTGACCTTATGAAAAACACACCAAAAACCAAAATTTTGGTCTCGGACTGTCGGGTGGGTTCCATCTTTGTATTTTATTTTATTTATTTTTTACATCCCTGAAGTTTATGGTTTAATTGGTGAATAGATAATCATTCCTTTGATACTACTTTCAAATGTCCAAGCCTAGTTGTCTTTCTTTCATTATCAAGGCTATTCATATTTGCTCCAATGAGCCCCATTTTAGATCATCCACTGCAGCATGAAGCCCCTATCCTTTTATTTGTATTTTTTGTGTCGTCTCTGTACTATAAATTGCATGCACATGATTTGAAATTTTAGTTTTTGATTCTTGCTACCCCCTTGGCACCAGTTGAAGAAGGTGTATTGGAGGGCAAGCTTTTATGTGTACATTGCGAAGCTCGCTTGGGTTACTTCAACTGGTCAGGCATCCAATGTAGTTGTGGTAGCTGGATCACCCCAGCCTTTCAGCTCCATAAAAGCCGAGTTGACATTAGCACTGTCTGATATTTTTCAACACAGAAGAGCTGTGTGTCTATTGCCTTGCTTGAAGATAGAAGATGGGAAGGAGGGGGCTTATATGTACCCCAACATCTACCTAGTAATAATTTTAAATTGTGGTACCAATAATATGAGAGCACAGTTTTTGAGTCAATGGTTGGATGTTTGAGAACTAGTTTATGTTTGCTTGCATTTTGTATGATGTCTTTGACAATCATCAGCTGGGTAGTGATGTTGTAAGTGCGTGGCCTTCTGTTCATAGTATGTGGCTTAAGTCATGATTTTTGTATTTCCATATTCAGATTTATATGCTTCAGCACTTTGGATTCATTTTTGTCATCCCGGTTCTCTATATGGTATAGAGTATTTCTTATCATTATAGTTATAAAGCATCACTAGCAGTGGCAGAACAAGAAAATTTAGTCAAAAGGGGCAACCATTTACCATAACATTAGATTTTTTTTGTTTTTTATTTTTTGTAATCAACAATGATAAAATGATATAAACTATATAAGTTGATAATAAACACAAAAATATAATTATTTAACAGCTCCGCCAGTCCCAAACCTGGGCTAAAGAGGAGGGTTGTGTGTTAGGTAGCCTCTCCAACACGTAAAAAAGCCACTTGGATCCCTTATGACAATAAATCTTACTTTGAATCGTTTAAATGTTAGGTCGTTCCCCTCAAGTGACACGTTGCGCCTGCTTTCAAGTGTTTCGAAAAGTGAGTAAGGGGCGTCGCATTGACGCTTGGGTGTTGTGAAAAATGGGTAAAGGTTCCCACATTTTTCTAGACGAGCGTGGGTAAAGAAGCTGGTCCAAGACTATACGTTTAGGGCGTGTTTGATTGGGGGGATTGGGGGGGGACTATCCACTATTTGGATTACAATTCAAATAGTGTTCCTTATCCGCCGTTTGATTTTTTTTTAGTTCGCCGGACATGGAGTTCGGCCGGACTCCATGTCCCCCATATGGGGGACTATTGTGTCCTGGGGGGGTGGGACAGAATGTGGGGGACTATCCACTGTTGGGATTAGATGCGAAAATGACTATTTTGACCCTCTACTATTTAATTATGTATTATATTTAATAAAATTCAATAAAATTTAAAGGTCTTAATTATGTATTATATTTATGGATTTTGTGTTGGCTTCTGACCTGGTGGTAGCCAATACTATGTATAAGAAGATGGATGAGTATTTGATAACCTTTAAGAGTGCGTCACTTATGAGCCAAATAGATTATTTCTTAGTGAGAAAAGTGGACTGCCTAAAATGCAATGATTGTAAGGTGATTTCTGGAGAAAGCCTGACCTCTCAAACATAGGATTTTGGTATTAGATTTATGTTTTAGAGGGCAATACCAAGCTAGGAAAGATGGTGGGCGTCGTAGGACGAGATAGTGGGACCTAAAAGGGGATAAATTATAAATATTTAAGAATAGAATAGATAAAGAAGGTACTTGGGACTTTGAAGATGATGCTAACACTATGTGAAATTTGTTGGCCAATTGTATGAGGAGAATCTCAAGGGAAGTGCTTGGAGAGTCGAAAGGAACGAGATCCAGCTCTAGGGAAACTTGGTGGTGGAGGGAAGAGGTTCAAGCGGTAGTTAAGGCAAAAAAAAAGTGCTTTAAAAAGTGGCAGAAGGATAGAACTGAGGAAAACCCTAAAAGTTATAGATTGGCCAATAAGGAGGTCAAGAAAGTAGTGAGAAAGGCTAAGTTGAAAGCTTATGATGACCTATACACTAGACTAGATAGTAAGGAGGGAGAGAAAAGGGTATACAAACTTGCTAAGATATGGGAGGGGAAAACAAGAGATTTTAATTAAGTTAAGTGCATCAAGAGTGAGGATTCTAAGGTATTGATGAAGGATGAAGAGATTAAGGAAAGATGGAAGAAATATTTTAAAAAACTATTAAATGAGGAACATGGAAGTACGGTAATAGGGGAAGAAATGACCAGTAATACGATAAATCAAGACTATAGGTTCTATCGCAGGATTAGGAACTTTGAAGTGGAGATTGTACTTAAGAAGATGAAATCAAATATGGCTTTCTGACCAGATGATATCTTTATTGAAGCTTGAAAGTGTTTGGGTAAAAAGGGGGTTGCTTGGTTGACTAGGTTGTTTAGCAAAATTTGGTTGACTAGGAACATTGCAGATGAGTGGAGGAAGAGTACTTTAGTGCCAATTTATAAGAATAAAGGAGATGTCCAGAATTGCAACAACTATAGAGGAATCAAGTTAATGTGTCATATAATGAAAGTGTGGAAGGGGGTGATAGAACGCTGATTGCGAGATATAACAGAGGTGTCAGAGAATTAATTTGGGTTTATGCCTAGCAGGTCAATAATGGAAGTGATCTATCTTTTGAGGAGAGTAATAGAAAAATATAGAGAAAAGAAAAGAGACATTCATATGGTGTTTATTGATCTTGAAAAAGCATATGATAGAGTGCCCCGGGATATAATATAGGGGGTGCTAGCGAAGAAATGGGTGACAAAATGTTACATTGATGTGATTAGAGACATGTATGAAGGGGTGGTGATCACTATTAGATTGCCTGCTGGAGAGACAAATGAATTTCCTATCACTGTAGGGTTACACCAATGATCCATCTTAAGTCCTTATCTTTTTGCTTTAGTTATAGATGAGTTGACGAGAAATATTCAGGATGACGTGCCATGGTGTATGCTTTTTGTAGACGATATCATGCTAGTGGATGAGACTAGAGAAGGAGTTAACACAAAGTTGGAGATTTGAAGAAAAGCTCTTGAATCTAAAGGATTCCGGATAAGCATTATTAAGACAGAGTACATGGAGTGTAAATTTAGTAATAGTAACAATGAAAGCAGAGGAGAAGTGAAGATTGAGAATCAAGAACTGCTTAAGAGTGAACATTTTCGTTATTTAGGGTCGATTATTACAACAACGAGGGAGATTGATGCGAATGTGGCCTATAGGATTAAGGCGGAATGGTGTAAGTAGAGAAGTGCGTCTGGAGTACTGTGCAATAAATGAATATCTACTAGACTTAAAGATAAGTTCTATAGAATGGCTGTTAGACCGTCGATATTATATGGGATGGAGTGTTGGGCTACCAAGAAACAACATGTAGATAAAATGAGTGTGGTTGAGATGATGATGCTAATGTGGATGTGTGGCAAGACTAGATAAGACAAAATTATGAATGAGTGTATTCGGGAATGGGTAGGAGTAGCACCGATAGAAGATAAGTTGAGAGAGAATTGATTGAGGTGATTTGATCATATTCAATGGAGACCAACAGATACAGTAGTAAAGAGATGCGATACTGTAACAGTAGATGGAAGTGTTAGGGGACGGGGTAGGCCTAGATTAACGTTGGTTAGCGTTGTAAATAGAGATATGGTTCTACTTAATTTGACTAATGAAATGACCTTTGATACGGCTGCGTGGAGAAAAAGGATTCATGTAGCCGACCCTATTTGATGGGATTTAAGACTTGGTTTGGTTTGGTTTAGTTTGTAAAGTCAGAGAGAACTAAGGCAATTTGTTGTCTATATGTATGTGTATAAGGTTATATATATGTATATGTTTATAAAATGGGGTCATCAAAGCAATTTATGTATTTAAGGGGGAAATTGAGGGGTTTAGTTGAAAAAAGCAAAAGAGGGGGCAATTTGAAATTCTTTCCTAATTATGGGTAAAAATAAAAATATTTAAATTTTGAGGAGGGGCAAGCTGCTGCAGCCACTGATTTCACTGGAGAAGCTATGTGATTCTGATAGAATAGACAGAGAGAGTAAAATCATACTTTGTTCTAACAAAAATGTTAGGAACATACAAAATGAAAGAAGAAGAAAATCACAAACACTCACATGATATAACACATTTATAATATTTAAGTTCATGGATAAATACCATCTAAAGACATTCTCACCAGATTAATATGAACATAGTTAAACATAGCTACTCTCTATATGCAAAATATTTTGCTGAAATAAAGTAACAGATAGGGTGGTGACCTAAGCAAACAACATCAGTGTGGGGACGAGGATGAAGTAAGAATAGTAATTAGGGCAATGACAGTCTGTATAGGAGTGAGGAGGAGAAAACCAGCTGCAATAGTGACAACAGTAACCCATATATTTTTGAAGTAATCACGCTTCAATGACGCTACTCTTCTCTTCCACCATCTCTTGCAATGAGCGTTCACTTTGCTGCACATTTCAGCATAGTAGAACTGATCCTTAATCATTCTTCCTTGACCCAGCTTATGGAACATAAGTGCCACCTCTTTGTCATCACCGAGCCAGTTGTCAAGAACATCATGGCACGAAGTTGGTCCACATCTTCTTTGGAGTTGATAAGTAGATCCATGAAGTATGTATAATCGGAGAAATATTTTGGTTCGTGATCTGAGGAATGTTGCTCATAGGCAATGATGTTACGGTAGAATGTTTCTGTCCAATCATCAACGTTAAACTTTGGTATTTTAAAATGACCATGTTCGAAGCAGATATTGAACATGCTGAGGTTGAGCTCATCATCATTCTCTTCAGCCCTGAACTTGACATCAGAGTCCTGAAGCTCTATCACACACGGCATTTTATAGCAAGTTCTCTGATTATAAACGAACTTAGAGTTGTTGTTTTGGCGGGCATCTGACTCATCATCTCCAGAGGATGGAAGAAAAACATTATGCACCAAGTCAAGAAAATGCTTGCTTTTAGAAAGAGGCATATTTTCAAAATTAATTCTGTGAATGTCACTCTCTCTTGGTAGCGTGCAAGCAACAGAATGAATAGCCAGCTCCGTTAGTGTGGGGCTAGGATGATTCTGCTTTGGATTTTGGGTCATGGACATAGTCATGCTGTAGCTCATGTCAAAAAATTCAGATATAACAAACAATGAAAGTTGATTTTCAAGTAGCATCAAGCCATTGCAAATTTGTCTTCTCATCCATGTTACTTTGACAATAGGATCATCATCACCCACATCTTGTGAATGTCTCCTTCGTTGATGATGATACTCAACAACATCAAACGCAATCGCACCAAAAAGAAACTCGATAACAAAGCAAGCATCATATAGCATCATTTTCATGAATTAATCACTGTCGAGGTGGTCAAGTGGGTTTGCATCATATAGCATCGTTGTTTTCTAACTTCTTCATACAATCCAAGTAAAGCTCTACACTTTAATTGTTGTTACGTTGAAGGAGCAATTCCAAATAACGTTCTTTATGTTTTTCCATAGCAAGTAGTTTGGGTTGACCATGGTGGTAAGGTCCTATAAAAACTAGCACAGATGTGTATGCCTTTTCATTTGCATGACGCAGTCCTACATGCACTCCGAAGATACAAGGTGGTTCATAGGACAAAGGTTCTCTTTCTTCAATGTTGATGGTGGTATGTTGTTCCATCCCTGCTCAACCCTTGTTATTATCTGTTAAATTTAAAGGAAAAAAAGTATATCAACATCGAAAAATTGGCGCACCGAAATCACCACCATGAAACATTTGTATGTATTTTTTATTTTTATTTTATTTATTTTTACATTTATATATAGATGCAAACATTTATTTCATGTCATTAATTTCGGTGTGTCATTTTTTCGGTGATCATGGCAATGTTGTTAAATAAGGCTAATCATTATTTACAAAGAGAAGCACAATTTGTATACAAAAATTTAATGCATGCAAACATTTATATTTATTAATGAGAAGCAAAAAACATGACCAGGAAAATTATTAGGTAATTTCGGAATAACCATGTGTTCAAACTCTTTTATCAATCATCATTCATTATGCTCTCTTATGTTTTTTATTCACTTAACACAAAATCGTGATATCTCACTTTTTCTAGCAATCATTATAGCGATCCCGGTTTTTCCTTCCTTTGTATACTGTATTCTGGACTTGGTTCCGTGGACTTGTTTTTGTATCATTATTACTTCTAGCCTTTACTCTTTGTATTTGAGTCTTGGGTTGTGATGGGCAGGTTTGAAACAGGTTGGTTGCACTTTGAAACCAAAAGGTGATGTCCAGATTTTGGCCTTCACGCTCGAGCGGAAGTTTTAACACTCGAGCGGGCTCTTCGTTGTTGCTTCTCCGCTCGAGCGGGAGTTTTGACGCTCAAGCGTGATTTTCCATCTCCCAGTACTTTGCTCTGCAGTTCGTCCGCTCCAGCGGTAGTCTTGTTTCGCTCGAGCGTGATCCCTTGATTTTGTCTCTCCGCTCGAGCGGAGAGTTTGACGCTCGAGCGGATACCATCGCCTACAAAACTTCTGGAAGTGTGAAATCGGCGCTCGAGCGGCTCTTTTCACGCTCGAGTGTGAGTCTGTGTCTGACGCTCGAGCGGGGTTTTCCACGCTCGAGCGGAGAATCTACTACATCAGTCCGTGATTTCACTTTTTGGATCACTTTTTGACCTACTTCTTTTCCCTAACTCTTTAAAAACCACCACTTGAGAGTTTCTCTCTCTACTCTCACCTTCTCTCTAAGATTTGATCTATTCCTTGTGGTCTTCTACTCTAGTTCCTTTGGAAGAAAGGTAGAGCTTCGCGAGAGCTTTCTTTTAATCTGAAAAAGAGAGGATTTGGGGCACTTTGGACTTTCGTCATCTTCTCCATTTGAGTTCTTCTCTTTAAGGTAGGGATTTCCTACTCCATCCTATAAGTTTTGTTCTAAGTTTTGGTATTTTGATATGTTGGGTGTACTTTGGTAATTTTGGGAAAAATCCTAATTGTATTAATAAATTAATTTGTATAATTAATTTAAGGAAATTGGAGAAAATTGGTTAAATGCATGAAAGTGAGGAATTCATTGATTAAATGATGTAGTTGGATAATTAAAATCACTCGCCTATTGAATTGTTGATATATTTATTTTCAGTCTAGAAATAACTGTTTTGGGCTATCGGTGGAGGATAGTCGTGTTTGTTGTAGACATTGCATGTGGATTAGGGAAAATTGAAACTAATCAATTTGTTTAAGTCATAAATTTAGACTATTGAATTGATACAGAAATTACACATTGGTTAAGTCATTGATTTAGACTGTTGAATTAATACAGAAAATACATGTATTGATTGTGTGTTGTATATGACGAGTGTTTAATACATTGTATATGCATTTTTGTTTGGGAGGAGATAGGGGATGGACTCCATTAGCATCACTTTTATGTGTGCTTATTTATATTGAAGTGTTTTATTTGATACAGCACTAAAATGTGTATCAAACTGAAAGTATGAAGTGTTTGATTTGAGCCTGAGTCTCATCTGTTTGTTGACATTGGACGAATGTGAATATAATATATATAGTTCACTGTTGTAAGTTTGGCCAGGTTCTGAACCATGTTGATAAAGTTGGAAAGTAAAACGTGTCTTAGACAATAGTGCCATGAGACTGTAAAATGAGTAATTGATTATCTTGGTTAACCATCTGTTGAATGCTATTGCTTTATTCAATGCTTATATTTGGTTTAGTATTTTTCTACTGGGCTGTGGCTCACCCTTTATGGGAACATCATTTTCAGGTTCAGGTGATAAGCTACCTCCAAGGATTTAGCTTGGAAGGATTTAGCTTTTGGATTCTGAAGACCATCTCTAGTTATTTGTTTTTATTTGATTTATAATCAAGCCTAGGGCTTTATTTGTATTTGAGTTAGAACTCATAATTTGTGTCCAAGTGTTGGCTTGGAAAAGATGTAAGCCCGTAGGGCATTTAATTTGATATTACATGTAATGTTTTTATTTAATAATACTCTGATGAATGGGATAATGAATTGTTTTCTTTTACTATTGCATGTCAATGATGTATATATAATGGGTTTTTTTGAGGGCGTTACAACCCCATTTTCACTTTGATATTCTTTCTTATTACAGATGTTTTGATGTGTAATTATTGTGATGCTATGGGATTTATATTTATTCTGTTTATTTACTGTTAAAATTTCAATAACATTATCATTTCGACTTTTTAGGGTATTTGTTCAAGTACTCTGCAGGTTTAGCACCCTACCACTCTATGGCATTGTGACACAGGTAAGGTTCAGTCGCAACTTATCATCTGAGTTGCAGTTTAAATTGGCAAAACTGACTGTGATTTCCCCTATTTTTTCCCTTTTTCTCCCATTTTTTCCTTTTTTCTTTTGTGGTAATGAAATGAAGATGGGAAGTTCATTCAGAAAGGCAATATTTGATAATCATGTGCAAAAGGGTCTTGTGGGTTGGGCTGAGAAAGCAAAGATGAAACTGAGGCCTAGACTAGACCGCATAAGGAGATGCATTTGTTTTTGGACATTCTTTTTATTTGTTGTTTAGTTGACATTAACATGGATTATGTTTTTGATGAAAACAGGTCTTTTGAGCATCTTTCTTGGAACATTCAACTTTTGGATAGCATGTAATATATGGAGGCCACTTCTTTCCTTTTTGATATCCTTGATAACACATTTTGTTCATTATCCTTTGCTATTCTATATTTTTTTTTGCTGTTATTGATTGTGTGCCTTTCTTTTCCACCCTCACCCTCACCATCACCCTCATCCTCACCCTTGGATGAGATTATTGAATTTGCATATAAAAAAATGGCTGAGATGACATTATGATGACATCATAACTTTGCCTATAAAAAAATAGCTGACATATGATCAGATCGTAACTTTTATGGCCATGATAAGGAGTGCTAACAGCATTATTTGTGCAATTTGAGGAGCTGTCAGCAGTTTTTTATGTGGTGTTTGGATTACCTGGACTAAAAAGAAGGTTTTGTGTTTGACCATGTAAAATATAGTTGTGCTCTTATTAGATAATTTCTATTGGAAGCTTCCTGTAATTGTTATTGTTTATGTGGTTTCAGAGCAAGAAACATCCTATTGAGTTTGCAGAGGAACTTGTGGTGGATGCTAATCAGTATTGATGGGTTTAACCTGATAATAGCCGATTTGTTCCAAGACCATGAAGAAGATAAAGGACAAAAACTTTTCTTTGCCTCTTTCTTTCTTCACTTTTTCATTCTGATTTCTTGCTCTTTTTCTCTCCGAAAGCTCTTTTTTCTTCGAATCTGCCATTGCTTCAATCTCTCTTCTGCAACTGTCTTTAATCTTCCATTCTTGCGAAGCTTTCTTTGCTATCACAACCGACATCTGATCTCGGCGAATATTGCTCCGGCTTCATTTGTTCTGGTAAGATTCTGTTCCTTTCATTTTTAGTTCTCTTCATGTGCTTTCGTCTACCTGTTGTCATTATTGCTTTGTTCAAAGCCTTGGATTCGTTTGTATTTTGAATCGTGGCTACATCTTGAATATTTACACTATTTCACCACTTTTCTTGTCATAATTCTTGACCTTTAACCCTTTGTATTCTTCGTGTTTCTGATAGCCCATTGTTGTTCTTGAATCTGAAACTTTGCCATTATTTTCTTGTTTTTTCGTATCTGTTTCAGATCTGTGCCTTCGATTTTGATCTTTATAGTACTTTGGTTTGGGATTTGTGTGTAGAACCTTCAATCTTTTTAGGAAAAACTGAAACAAGCCTTATCAGTCCTTTCCTAGGTCTTTGCCGAGGTTCTTGCAACCCTTCTTTAAACGCCCATCTTCTGAAATACATTCTTCTTTTGTTTAAGTCGACGTAATGGGTATGTGGAGGCATAGGGTTAATACCCCAACAAAACTCGAATACTTTAGGCAGGAATTCTCTATCCCAGCCGATGTTCACCTTAAGCTAGCTGGGGATAATGATACCATTATGCCCACAGACCATACGATGCCCTTTCCTATAGTAGCCTTCACTGAATGTGGACTTCGGCTTCCACTGAATCCCCTGTTTCGTGAAGTTCTTTATTTCTACAAGCTGAACCCCATGCAACTTACTATCAACTCCTATAGGGTGATTAACGGTATTATAGCTTTAGCTAGGCAAGAGAATCTTAGGATCACCCTGGCCGACCTTCAGTACTGTTATACAATGTGCCCCCTCAACCTGAAGGAAAGGGGCTTTGTTTATTACCTTAAGCCGAGGTCTACAAAGTACAAAATTGTAGCCAACCTCCCAGACTCCAACAAGGGGGCTGGGGATGACTTTGTTATCGCTTCGGGA